ATCAATCGGAAGGGTGCTGATTGGGATTGTTCACTAGCCAATATATTAGCAAATATCACCGTGGGCGCTTATTAGAGTGGGGCGCTTATTACGTCGAATACGGTATATAGAAAGACATTCAGTAAAATATGTTTATAACTGACAGATATAACGAACTTATTTTTTGGTCCCGGCCATTTGCTGTATACTTGTTGTATATATGCATATAACGAACTGCGGTTATTATAAACAAACTAAATAACGGTCCCTTTGAGTTTGTTATAACCGTAGTTGATTGTATCTGATTACCCCTTTTGAAAGTGGAATAGATTAGTTTATCAAGTCTTCTTCAGTATTATCTGAGAATGAAGATTTTTTCTTGGTTCCTTTCTATTACATATTACCCTATATTATATGAGACAGTGTTCAGCAAGTCTATGTTCATTTCAGTATCTAAACATCAAGATTATATGTGAGTAGACAATTAAACAAACAAATGACTTTCAAGTTTTTGAATGTTTGGCAAGTCTCCATTTCTTCAGTATCGTCTAGTAATGAAGAGATGCACTTCTCTTCTTTCTATGATATATTATTAGACAATAAATGAAATTAATATTAAAATATCTTCTTTTCAACGACTAAATGTCAGTCTCAGATTCAGCCTGTTTCATCAACTGTCAGATGGTTTCAGTCAACACATCAAATTTGTGTTCTTGTTTGAGAGTGAGAAAGAGAATTATTGTTACTTCACCCTTAAGCTAAGTATTCCAAAGTACTTTTTTGTGTATAGTTTGTCTGTACATTGTAATGTATGCTAATTGATTCACACCATTCATAGTCACGTTAAAACTAATGTTGTGGTTCCTACCACACTTACTTTCTAATGGACCCGTGAACATCCGGGGTAGAATAGGTCTCCAGTAACCCATGCATGCCCTAAAAGTTGACTTTGCTTGTCATAAGAGGCGACTAATGGGATCTGGTGGTCAGGCTTGCTGACTTGGTTTATACATATCATCGTATCTCAATTACTAGGATCGATGCTCATGATATCAATCACTGGATTGTCTGGTCCAGGTTTGATTATTTACAGACCGCCGTCATATAGCTGGAATATTGCTGAGTGCGACGTTAAACAAACCAAACTTTCAAATGAGGGTTGTAGGAAGGCTTTTGTCTTGTTTTGTGTTGGAGAACCACTGTGAACTCTTCATGTGTGCTCCTGTTTGTCATGAGCTGTGTTTCGGTCATCAGGCATTATCTGTTTGTTGTTTAACGCCACACTTAGCTGTTGAAACATGGATTCTGATTGGTCCCTAGGTGTTTACCTTCAAGAAATGGTGATAAATTGTGGAATAAACTGAGACTATACTCAGCTGAAGCGTCTGACATTCCACAGCACTGGGACACAGCATTACATCTCACAGCGATAGACCCATGGTTGATATTTCACTGAAGATTTTGTTCAGAAGTTTATATCTCGACTTCATGGTTGTCAGAAAATTGTGAGATATTTCGTAATAATCTCTGAAACTTTTAAGGATTCCACATTTTCTAGGATCATAGGGAGTATGATATCTTCCAAAGTGTAGCAAAACACCAACATACGAGAGTAATTATGGAAAGTTTAGTTGTACTTGAAAATATGTCAGCATGACAATATCAAGTACTATTTGTGTGACAACATCTCTGAGCAATCAGTCGCTTTCAGTCCCTATCTGGAAACTCAGAATATATATATATCAAAAGTTGAGTGGTATGTCTTCCCCTTTTTGTAACAATTCATTTAAATGTTTTTCCTACAATCATTAATTACACACTTTCCTGTTGTTTGGGAGAGCCTGAAAACTCGGAATGTTGTTTTTTATCTTCAGTTATCTAGTAGGACTACATTACCATCTTATCCATGCAAATAATTTTGTCTATTAATTAATTGGTGTTGTATAGCCTTTTCCATTATCTAATTAAAAAACATCAAAAGTTTTCCCAATAAATTTTTTTAAAGTTGTAAGTCAATGCTTCCGATTTAACTCGGCATTCCTCCACTCTTGAATTGATTTTCTCATTCAAAACAAACTGACAGTCCTCTGCAACACAAAGAACTGTGTTGACGACAGGTGAAATACACCGTTGTCAATTGCAGGTGAAGTACACCCGTCTCTCAGCAATCGAGGGTCCCTGTGATAAATACCATACCAAGAAATGACATCACCCCATAGAAATGAAATCTACATCCCGTTTCCTTGTTGTTGATAGACTGATACATATACGAACGTCGGTTTTCAGTGATGTGTCTCGTTCAAAGTGTCGTCAGTTTATCTGCCCGGCATTTATTCCCGATGAGCAACATCTGTTATTGTGTGGAGGGTGGGTTTGTAGTACATTCTCATAGTGTGTATGACTTCCGACATTCCGATGTTGTTATACCCCGTGTTAATGGATTGGATTAATGGTCTATTTCATGCGTGATTGAAATTGACATGTTTTACAAAAAGAATAAACATAAATAACTTAGAAAAGTATGTGTAGAAAAGGATATTTGGATGATTTGTTAAGTTTGAAATACTTTAATCTAAATCCGTGGTTTAAGTCTTGTCTGATAAAAGATATTGTGTGAGTGGCGACAAGGGAATGCAATTTAAATATTTCATGAAACTCAGATAGCATGTGTAATACAGAAACTTGATAGTTGTCATAAGACCTCAGGATGAATGATTGATCAAAAATCCCATCAACAAATTCTTTATTTGAATGTCCTCACATAGAAAGGGTCATGATAAAGTCTGGTAAAAGGTTTGATATATGGCTGTACACGGGATGGGGGGTGGGGCACTTTGACAAGACATGTTTTGTGTGTTGTTTTACACCGCACTCAGCAATATTCCAGCTATATGACGGCGGTCATATAAATAAACAATCAAGTCTGGGCCAGACAATCCAGTGATTGACATTGAGCATCAATCTACACAATTGGGATACGATGACATGCGTCAACCAAGTCACCGAGCCTGACCACCCGATCCCATTGGTCACCTCTTACAACAAGCAAGGGTTGCTGAAGACCAACCCTTATCTCCATGGGACGACAGTAAAAGTTTTTTTACTACTGTATTACACATTTCTGATGGGAACAAAGTACACGTGCTTCAATCAGTATTATATTTCATCGCTACAATTTTGACTTGTGATGCGGTATAGATGAGTGTGTACTCAAAATATAAATATATTGAATAAGTAAAAAGTTGATTGTTGAAGGTGTTATAAGTGTGTGGTAGATAGTAACTTAATAAAATAACAAAATATACCAGATTAATTGAAAGTAGTCATTAGGAGGCCAAGGTGGAATATAACTAAGAAGTTCGCCAAATTCCAGCCTTCCTGTAGCACTGACCTGATAATCGTGTGCTGGAGAGAGCACGTGAGAGTGCAGGTCTTCAGATAAGCTGCCTAGTTGCGTAATATATGCTGAATAAATCACCGAGTCTCCTCCATACAAATAGCTATAAAAAATGTCAAAATTCAGTGCTCATCACACTGAGCATAAGTACCCACAGTAGCCTTAAATACTGAAAAAATAGCCGCACTGCTTGGTCAGCAGTTTTTCAACAACTGTTTCCGTCAATGGAGCCTTCTATTCAAACCATTATTGTGCTGTAATTGTCCAAGACACCGACATATGTTGTTGAGCACCGGTACCTTTCCAGCATCTCAAAAACAACCAAGGTATTTAATCAAACTGTGAAATAGAAATTCATTTGCTAGAACGAGATAACAGGCATATCTATGATTGCTGCTGCGTCCTGGCAGCTTGTGACACACATCCATGTGCTTATCTCACGAACGGGACGAGTTCATCTCCTATTTAGAATGCCAATATTTCAAATACCTCATCAGCCAGATTCGCAGCAAAGGACATTCATATGCGCTGTCTTTACGGAAATGCAAACTGAAATGACGACACTGCACACTTCTACAGCACATTCAGGAAGACAAAGCTAAATATGGAATGGGGAAAAAACAGCCCCCCCTTCAACATGTGTAGCACTTTGCCTTAGAATTTTGATTGTTTTTTTTTTTAAGTTTCCTTAAATCACAGGAAGACCCAACTAGGTTTGTGTGTGTTCTGTGTCAGTCTGGTACTCTGGTATTCCCCTTGAAGCGGCCATGTTTATTCTTGTGCTAGAGTAGTTTCCTACAAGTTGCGTGCATGATGTCTGCGAACAAAGGTTTTGCACTCATCTGCGTCGTCTGTTTGAATATTTGTGCCATGTGCAGATGCTCAAATGTTTATCACAAGATTTTATTTGGGAAGAATCTTCAATTTTGAGTTGTTTAAATTTGCCCATGGTACTTGCTTTTAAGTTGATAATTTGGAAAATAAATTTGAAAATATTGAAATTGTAAATAATTCTTGTCACATGTCTGTGAATCTGAATTATCAGAATAATTGTGTGTCTGTTAACATGAATTTTAGGTTTAGTGTGGTATGGCATTGTTTATCTTTTCTCCACGCCCAAACCTGTTGTTCTCTCAACGTTGTCATGCTTGTTTGATAATCATCAATTGAAGTTTTGCCCAAATTCGATTTACAACAAAACTGAAAATCACAACTTATTATAGATTAGATATTAAATGCTTTATATATGGAAGTCTCTGGTTTTCAATTTTCAAAAAAACCCACATGTTTCCTCTTAGTCGTTGATGCTTGTTTTCGTAAAAAAAGAATAAGACATTCAGATGATGAAGAATATATGAGCAGGTATTCTACTTTCTTAAGGGACAGCGGGGCAGCAGGTCTAAGTGTTTGCCTGTCACGCCAAAGACCTAGGTTTGATTCCTCACATGGGTACAATGTGTGAAGCCCATTTCTGGTGTCCCCCGCCGTGCTATTGCCGGAACATTCCCCAAAGCGGCATAAAACCATACTCCCTCACTATATGAGTGAGTATGATATGCTAGATATGCTGGTAAAATAATCTCCCCTTATTCATAAATACTAATTGTGCTTGTTGATGTTGCAGGTTGCTATCAAGTACATCAAGAAGACCAAGATCCATGACGAGACGGACCTAAACCGTATACGTCGTGAGATCGGCATCCTGTCCAGTCTCAAGCATCCGCACATCGTCAACATCAGGGGAGGTAAGTCATCACACATACACTTATATCAATGCATTCCTGTCTCCGCTGATACTTTACAAACTATAAGTGCTACTGTATAATGGCGACTGATATCGGGTTCTAGTGCTCATGACAAATGTGCAGTGAAGACTGACGTCAAGTACTACTGTCATTACAACTACATAATGGTGACCAATATCGAGTTCTCCTGCTCATGACAAATGTAATGGGAAGACTGACGTCAAGTACTACTGTCACTACAACTACATAATGGTGACCGATATTGAGTTCTACTGCTCATGACAAATGTATTGTGAAGACTGACGTCAAGTACTATTGTCATTACAACTACATAATAGTGACCGATACCGAGTTCTACTGCTCATGACAAATGTATTGTGAAAACTCACGTCAAGTACTACTGTCATTACAACTACATAATGGTGACCAATATCGAGTTCTCCTGCTCATGACAAATGTACAGTGAAGACTGCCATGTATTGCTATTGTCATGATAACTATATAATAGCAACTTACATCAAGTGCTACTGTCGTGACAACTACAAAAGATCAGATTGAGAAAGTAACGCTTGAAACCATCATCAATATATATATGGCTGATGATCATTGCAGAGAAGTTGGTTTTGATTGGTCAGTTCCAAATAATCCAAGGTATCTAATCTAGTCATTGAGGATGTGTTGTGTAATTTTCTGCTTGTCGATACAGCACTTTAAAGCATTTCTTGTAACAGTGAAAAAAATACCTCTTTACATAGTGCTGCAGGATGGTAGGAATCTGTTATTGAGCTGCTCATTAAAACTATTCAGTATTTGTCCTGACTCGCATTTCTCTCGCTTAGTCAACTATCAGCCAATCACACTTGACTGTCAACTTGAAAACGAAAAAAACCCTTGAGAATCGAATTCATTCAGAAAGAGGAAACTTGGCTTTGCCCAGATTAGCAATTAAATGGAAGTTTAATCCAACATGGGGAAGGTGCAAAATTCTACAACAAGCACTGCGAGTGTTACATAATTTGAATTAGGCACAAAATTGTCATGGCTTCCAGGAAGGATTCTATAAATAAACCTTAACGTCCTACATTAGCGTGTAACTGTACATTTAGCCGGTCGATGAAGGAAAATGTAATGTTTTAATACCCTGTAGCACAGACCAGTGTTGAGATATTGGAGGGTAGGAATTCCCCGTGAGGTGGACACATACTTGGGCTTTACACGCTCGTACCAAACAGACGACACTGTTGGCTTTTGTGTTTGGGAGTGAGACAAGGAATGGCTGTGGCATAGCTGAACTGCCTCTTGCAGGGATGTTCAAATGGAAGCGTTTCCTTAAATCATATTTGCCAGTTCTTGCTAATGCATGACTTTGGTTTTAAGTCTTTTGTACCCAATATAAACGTTTTGGTCTTGAACTTTGGAGAACCTAAAATGCTTAGACTCACAAGCCACAGTTCTGCCTGCATGTGAGTTCCTTAATGATCGATGACATGAAAGAAAGATATATTTATCAGATTCCTTACTGCACATGCAGCTCAACACGTTTCTGGCTTCAGCCCAACTGAAACAACTTTTCGCATAATATTGTGTGATGTCACTTCTTGAGGTCATCAGAAACATGCCCTTGTCCTGATCTGGAGTTTACATGGCTTATGAAATTTGGCTGCCTCGATGAACCTCTCCATACCTTTATGGCGTAGTCAGTATAGTTTAGAGAGATGACCATGAGGTCAACATTTTCTCTGAAGTATGTTCAGAACGGAAAATAAGTACAAGCCAAAAGATTTTCATCTTAGCCTTGCCCCTGAAGAGTATAGAAATGCAAGTTGTAGTCACCATAGGGGATGCCGGGTAGCCTAGTGGTTAAAGCGGTTGCTCGTCACCCTGAATGAGTAAAATGTGTGAAGCCCATTTCTGGTGTTCCCCACCGCGATATTGCTGGAATATCGCTAAAAGCGGCGTAAGAACTCACTCTCTCTCTCTCTCTCTCTCTTACTCACTCACTCACTCACTCACTCACTCACTCACTCACTCACTCACTCACTCATGTAGTCACCATACAACATTCTGTTGACTGACTTATTATGAAGACATAACCAGTTCCTGTTCCTGTTCCTGTTCCTGTTCCCCAGACGCTTGTGAAGGAACCCGTACTGACTGATGAACATTTGTTGCATCAAATATGACATGTCAAAATAGTGATGATAATATTGAGAACTGTTTTTAACAAAGATTTTTCAGTAAGATAGTGAGTGAGGTGGTTTTAACACCGTTTTGAACAGTATCCTAGTTATATCACGGCATGTCAGCTTAATGTGGAAGGATTGTTTGTTTGTTGTTTAACGTTGCACTCAGCAATATTCAAGCTATGTGATGGTGATCTGTAAATAATGGAGTCTGGACCAGGCAATCCAGTGATTGACATCATGAGCATTGACCCAGGCAATTGGGATACGATGACATGCATCAAGCAAGTCAGCAAACCTGACCACCCGATCCGGTTAATCGCCTCTTACGACAAGCATAGTCCCCATTTACAGAAAGCATGGATTGTTGAAGACCACTTCTAACCTGGATTTTCACGAGTTAATGTGGGAGCAAGTCTAAAGTGATGCAGGTCTCAGATGTTAATCACTTTGTAAGTAAGATAAGATCAAGATAAGACTAAAGATTACTTGAGTCAATCTTATCAACATTTTTTGCCTCAAATATGATTCAAATATTCTTTACCAGTATTAAAACACAAACATTACATGTGCAACAGTGTATGTTGAACTGAATGGTCTACAGACCTCCATGGCTGACATTCAATACAAAATTTGTTTTCTGGGGGCTAAAACATTGTCTTACTTTTTATGTTAGTGTTTAAATAACTTTGTTATTTTGATGTTAAATATTTGGTTGTCATAATAATGGATCTATTTAATGTGGAATGTAGTCTCATATGAAAAATGTTTATTGAATGGCATTTTGGATCTACATCACAAAATGATCTATGAAAATGTCAAGATCTCTTAACAGTGCTTGTATCTTTCCTGTGAGCAGACAAAAGGCCATAATATAGTCATCAGGTTTTCATTCCCCCTCTCCTCCCTACAAAACACCTGCGTTATTTCATTATCATCTAGCGCACAAGCACGCACGCACGCACGCACGCACGCATGCACACACGCACACAGTCATCATATACCAAGAAACTTGTCACATGTGTTTTCTTATGTAGAGAAATAAAAAAATGTAAAATGTGCAAGAAATTTAATATTCTACTCAAAAGAAGTTAAGGTCCACCAAGTTCTTTGATATCAATATAGTTAATATGGCATGACGACAGATTAACTCTTGTAATTTTGCATGATAGATTAACTATAGTAATATGAAAGAATGGGGTGGTCCTTAACTTCTTTTGAGTTGTATAATTAATTCAATGTGGCCAAATGTATTCTGATATTCGTTTGGGTTTTATTCAAATATCTTGCCTTACAGAAAGAATTTTATGCCCAAAGTATTTTGAATTATTTGAACATCTCTCAGCATGTTACATGTACCTATTTCACATACACAAGTACAACACTGGTCGGCAGTGGACTTGAACAGATGCAAGCTGGCTTGTGTTCAGGTGTGTGCACACACTAAGAAACACACTGACACATATGCTTATTATGAAATTCAAAACAGCTTCATCTTTTTATTTTTCACAAAGAACGTATGGTAGAAGTGATGCAGTGTGGTTGTTGGAGGAAAGTTGTTTAACCAGTTTGAAGTTCACGGACATCTTGTATTAGACATATGTGAAGTGATATAGATCTGGGAGTGAAGGCCAGTTCACACAGCCGTACAGAAATGGCTGCAGTTGTTTCTCACTCTAAACACAGCATGGACATGGAGATATTAGATGCGTAAGGGTGGACTGTATAATGGAGGACCTGTCGGACCAAAATAGTTAAGGGCTCTCTCCAAAAATGTTGTCAGTTTTCTTTTAGCCCTTTAAACAGTAATGTTAAATGTAAGCTCAACTTTCTTGCCAGGCTGCATGATACCTTCATTTTTTCAGACTATTTGTTCCAAAACATGTATCAGTTCAAAATACAGAGCTCTGAAAATTAAGATTGATATGTTTTATGTGATAATACTGCACATAAAAAAGATAGGATCATGAATATTTTGGGGGACATTTTCATGAAATTGTATGCTCAGTCTTCACTAAAAAAATACAGTGATCCCTCGATATACCGCTGTCATCGGGGTCCAAGAAACTGACTCCGCGGTGTAGGAAAGAGCGGTGTACAGATATTCCTTGCTGAGGTTCACATTACGTAATGATGGTAGTGAATGGAACAGTGGCGCAATTATTTCACAGTGGCATGGGACATGTAGATCTATGTAACACTGATCGTGGACGATGATTCAAACTGCATGTGTAAAAAAATAAAAATACTTTGTGTAAATTAATCAAAGTAGTCTGTATTATTTTATTTGATTTTATGTGAGTTTAATGCCAGATCTGTGTACGATATGTTTTTTCACAACCGGAACAAAAGGCAGAATGGTTTCGATCACATTCAGCCGCATGCAATGAACGTAATTGTTTTACAAATACACACACGTGTACATCGACTTGGAATTAAATTTCATCAGTTTATTTGTAACTTTATTTGCTTTAACGCGCTTTTAGAGGAAAATTCTTCATGCATTTTTGGGAGCCATGGTTTACCCCATGGAGTAGCGGTACATCGAGGAGCGTTAAGTCGAGGGACCACTGTATATCCCGCAAATATTCATGATCCCTCTCTGTTTTGTTCAGTATATTTAAGAAGAACCAGGTAACAATATTATACAAGGCCATTAATATATAGATAAAACCTACATGAAATATGGCTGTATCAAATAATCTAATCTATTACATTTTATGCCTCATTTGTATGTAAAAAGAAAAATATGAAGCCTTAATAATTTAAACCAAGATTTTAGATTTCTTGTTTTGTCCTTTCTGTGTGAATTATATT